GGTAGGGACCCCCCTTCTGGGGGGCTCATGTTCCAGGGAACCACGTCGGGGTGGGGGGGGTAGGGACCTCCTATTTGGGGGGGTGTTCAGTGGGGACCCCCATTTTAGGGGCTCAGATGCCACCGGGAGACTTGGGGACCCCCTTATTTGGGGTAGGAATGCACTGGGGACCCCTCCCCCCCTTGGTGTGCAGAATGGGGACCCCCATCTAAGGTGGGTGCTGTAGGGGCAGGATTTGGGGTGCCATAGGGTCTTAAATCCTCCTCCCCCCCAAAATGGGGACCCCCCTGAGTTGGGGGGGGGACAGAACTGGGAGGGAACTGGGAACTGAGAGGAAGCTGGGAATCCCTGGGGTCACTTTTGGGGGGGGGTGAGTGAGCAAAATACCTCAGGGCACCCCCAAAATCCTCATCACCCCCATCCCTGGGGTTGGGGGCAGAAATTTCCTGGGGTGAGTTTAGAACCTGCTCCCTGGGGGGGGGTTATTTTTTAACCCCTGAGCAGAAAATCCCCCCAAAGTGACTGTTTCCCCACCCCTGAAAGAAGGGAAACGAACCAAAAATGAAGGAAATGAACCAAAAATTATGGAAATGAACCAAAAATGAAGGAAATAACCCCAACCCAGGGCATGGTGACGCAGAGCGAATACGGAACCTGATCGATCTCCACCCAAACCACGATGGCCATGAAGGGAAAGATCACCCCCCTTGTCACTCTGGAGGGGGGGATTTCCCTGCTAGAAGTAATGATTAATGACTAATTAAGAGGCTTGTGAGAACCACCCTGAACAGCCGGGCCTGGTTTTGCTGCCTGGGGGGAAGGAAAATCAAGATGCCGGACGGGGAAGCGAATGTTAGGCGCGCAACGGAGGAGGAGGAGGAGGAAGAGGGTGGCCCTGGAGCCACTGGGGACTTAATAATCATTAATTTTGCATATCAGTGATAATTATTATTATCCAGGCAGGTGGTACCAAAGCTTTTTATCACCTCCAGCTCCTAAATTTGCCATTTTAGGCCTTTTTTTAGGTGTCGTTGTGTTGTCCGGCGCGGCCGCCATTGAGCCCTGGTCAGGCTGTTCCTTTTTTGGGCTTGTTTTTTGCCCTTTTTAATCTCTTTTGGTGAGTTTTAACAACTCCTTGCTGCTCCTCGGGGCTGGTTACCCCCTTTTTTTCCCCTTTTTTGCTTTTATTTGGTGCTTTCATTCTGCATTTTCCTGAGGGCAGCTGGTAAACAGCAGCAAAATCTGTGTAGCTTTTGAGTTTTAGTTCCCAAAAGGTGTTTTATTTCCTAAAAAATGTGATTTCTTTCTAAAAAACTGTGATTTATATCTAAAAAACTTAGTTTATTTCCTAAAAAACTTGGTTTATTTCTTAAAAACCTGGTTTATTTCTTAAAAACTGATTTATTTCCTAAAAAACTTGCTTTATTTCCTAAAAAACCTGGTTTATTTCTCAAAACCCTCCCCAAACCCCTGCAGCTTTTGCCTGAAATGAGGACATTTAATAATAATATTAACAATAATATTATTTTCTAATAAATAAATGGTTGTTTTATAACAACTCTTTATTTTTTAATAAGCCCTTATTTTCTAATAAGTATTAAAGCCATTAATAAACATAACAAGCCACCTGGGGGCAGTGACCCCTCCATTTTGGGGTTGATTTCAGCACCAAGAAGTTCCAAAATTGCCTCTAATTCTGAATTTTTTTAACCTTTTGGCTTGAAGGGACAATTTTGGGGCTGGTTGAGGAAAGTTTGGGGGTTTTCTTGGGACAGTTTTGGGGCGGGTTGAGGATCCAAACGACGACCTCACTTGGCTTCGTTTCCACCTTGAGATGTGATGAGTTTTGACCAATTTTTGAGCAGCACCACCAAAGAGAACCCCCCACAACCCCCTTCCCTCCATCCTCCTGATCCCAGAATTCCCACCAACCCTCCCATTTTTCCAGGAGGTGCCTCAGGAACATTTGAGCTCCTTGAGGAAAAGCCGCGAGGAAGCCAAAGCCGAACGGGAACGCCAGAGCCAGGAGCTCCTGGTGAGTCCTTCAGATCTCCCTCCAAACCCTTCCATGACCACCAGGATTTTCCTTCCTCACTTGGGAATTTCCCTCTGGAATTTGCAGAAACAGACAGAAGTGGAAAGGCAGAAAATTGTGGCTGAGTGTAAAGAGCTCCGGGGGTTCCTGGAGGAGAAGGAGCAGCTCCTGTTGTCCCGGTTGGAAGAGCTGGACAGGGATGTCCTGAAGAGGAGGGATGAGAGCATCTCCCAACTCTCTGAGGAGATTGCCCAGTTGGACAAACTACTGGGAGAACAAGGAGGAAAACATTATGAGAGCCAGAAATAAAATGTAGAGTGAGGGAAAAGATTGCAGTATGGGAGATGGGTTAGATTAACTCTGGCCATCCAGGAATGAGAGTGGCAGCAAAATAATCCTGCCTATTGATGAGAGACCACCAGCTATTTCTGGAGAAGCAATGCCTTGACAGGCTTAGGTCTCCATGGTTCACGAACTTTTCCTATGTTATGTTCATAAAACTTTAGTTTCCTGGAGCACATTCATATCTACTTTATTTCAATACATGGATACTGTGAAAGGAGTTGAAGAGAAAGTGGTGGTAGTGATGTGTAACATGGAGACACCATACAAAGGGAAGTGTAGAAACAATACACCTACACTATCTTGGGAAAGATCTTGGCTGCTCCTGGAGCTATAGTCTGCTCTTCATTTGTCCATCCTTCACATCTCTGGGTGCTCAGCTACACACCTGACATCTACCCACTGCTTTTTTCACTAAAGTCAGTGGTGAACATGGTAAAAAGGGAAAACTCTCGTGGCATGGATTTTAAATTTAAACTGTGTTCTTTTTCTCATTGATTTCATTTCCTTACTTTATGCAAAAGGCCAAACTGAATTAATTACTTTTCAAACTTTACCTAAATCCTTGTATTAACTACTGAATAATTTCAGGTTGATTCCAAAGTTCTTGTATCATTCTACTACCATGGCCCAAAGAATTGTACCTACATGGATTAATTCCTTTCTTGATCTCTCAAAAGGCAAGAAGAATTCCAAGTAGCTCAGTAGGTCAACTTATATGCTGTTGTAGTAGGAAATGGCTGAACAGTGAAAATTTATGCTTATGCAACTGTTATTAATTTCTCACTCAATGCAATGATTCAGTGATTCAAAATGCATGGATGCATGGGTCAACTGACCATATTCTCTTAATCAGATTCACCCTGCAGCAAGAGAAGAAAAGTTGCTGGATTATATAAAACGAAACAGCAATGCCACAAAAGCAAACATTTCTGTCTCTATTAAGATACTAATGGTAAATACCAGAATGTGTCAGTTCATATTTTTGCTTCAATACATTAATAATAAAATCCTCCACATGCTTGCTTTGAATCAAATAAAGTTGCTCTGCATTTCAGGATTCTAATGGAATATCAAAGGATCTATAGAAGAGTAAAAACAGTAGAAGAAAAAAAAATAGTGAATTATAAATACAATATTATGATCTAAATAACATGACTCTATTTAGATGCAAAGTTTTAAAAGCTGTAAATTTCTACAAAAACATTTAGGTGTATGATGGCAGTTAGGTAACTCTATAGGTTAGTGATGTAGACAAATAAATGTAGGCTATATCCAAGCACAGAAACTCCAAATGTTAATGTTCATGTTGTTTCAAAAAGTGATTGCAGAAAAAGTAAGCACACTGTAATTTTCATGTCAGGTGACATTTTGTGTGTTATATATGTTTGAGCATGTGAATGCATATTAATACAACACTATTTAATGAAGAAGGTTTTGTTAACATTCCACCTTGAATGGCAATATCTGCATATTTTCAAATCCACTGAATATCAACATGGAAATTTTGTTTACAAGTTGTAGTTCAACGATTCATTAAATACCTCTTATTTAAGAAAAGATATATTCCAGTATGTAAGGTGCCATTGATGGGGCTGTAATCCCTGGCTTATCATCAGATATAAGTAGAATCACAGAATCATTAAGGCTGGAAGGGATCTTAAAGATCATCAAGTTCCAACCTCCCTGCCATGAGCAGGGAACCCCACCACTAGACCAGGTTGCACAAA